TGGAGGGCACGGCCGCTGCGGGGAAGGGCGAGCGCGAGAGGGCCCCGGCGCGGCCCCGCGCCCGCTTCGCGCCATCCCTGTCCGGAGCCCATGAGCGTGGCCTGGAGCTGCCCTGCCGGCTCCTTTGTCTGGCAGGAGGAGATGGTGACGGTGACGATGCTGTGAACGCGGCGGCCGCGCGAGCGCTGCGTCACGAGGAGGGCTGGTGCTGCTAACGGGCACTGCTGCGCAAGAGCAGGTCCCGATGAACGATGAATAAACGTTAGCTGGAGGCCGGGAGTCTTTAACGCTCCGAGCAGTGAGATCTTGGTTGTGCCTCCCAAGGGGGCTGGAGAGGCAAGACCGGGGCGGCTTTCCCAGGAGTGTTGGCTTCTTCATGCAATGATGAGGATGTTGGGAGCGTGAGGGATTGTACTGGAGAGCCTAGAAGTGCTTCTGAGGCCAGTGATGTGGTGGGTTGGGAACAGGCAACACACTGGCCTGCTCTGGATTGCCCACAGGAATCACGCTCGTGGTTGAATCTCCACAGAGCCCCTGCAAGCAGAGGCGTTTGGCTCATAGCGTGATGGACGCAGGGGCTCGCGATACTGGGACAAACTGCTCTCAGCACTTCAATTGCCTTCTAGCGAAAGGCTTTAAGCTCTGCCTCCCCAAACACCTCTCCTGTCTTGGTCTGTGTTGTAATAAAAACAAGCTCTGACGCTCCTGAGCAGAGCTTTGGGGCCTGGCAGCAAACGCAAGGCACAGAAAGGGTAGGTGTCAAGTGTTGCTCTCGCACCCGTAATCAAGAGCTCTGCGCTTTCCTGGAGATGGAAACTTGTTTGGAGACGGTTAGTGAGAAGATGTGAGCGTCCTGAGGGTTGTCACATTGCAGGTTGTGTCTAAAATATCAGGTGGCAGACAAGATTGGCAACATGCATGCACATTTGTGCGGGGAGGAATGAAGGCTCTTGCTCCAGGTCTGCCTGGGACAGTCAACAGAGAGGGAGCTTCTTTCCCTGAACCCGTTGTATTCCTCCAACAGGGCCCACGCGAGCAAGCCCACGGTTCAGCTCCACATGGTTCTGCTCTGGCAGGAGCTCTGTCTCAGCCGCTGCTTCATGAGGCAGAGGGTGTCTCTGCTAGCACCTTGTTTGGGCTCGGGAGCATGTTTTTGAAGGTCATTTCCTAATCACCCTTGCCTCGCATGCTGTGAAGTTCCTCAGTGGTGCCAAGTGTGGTAACTGCTCCTCTCTTGGAGGACACAACTGGAGGATGAGCTCTAGGAGCTCACCTGAAGGGCCTTCCGTCCAGGGCCCAGGCTAGAGCTGGTCCAAAGCCATACGCGTTTCTGGGGTTGTTGGGTTTCCGGCCCAAAGTTTTGACCTGCAGGTCTCTTCCCATTGCCCTGCGTTAATCACAGCACAAGCATAGTCAGAAAAAAAGACATAAATAACTGTTATGTAAAAGTTCATCTGCTCTTCTCCTGTAAATTAGGGTTTTGTAGATAAATCCTTATATTCAAAGAGTGTGGTTGATGCAGAGATCTCCTGGAAGAAGGATGAGTAGTTTGGGGAGGAGATAGTGCTATAATAACGCACTCTGATGACGGATCAATTTTTTTTCTTATTGATAAAAAGAAGCATTAACTTATGTGTTCTACAGCCATTTGTAGTGCTGTTAAAAAGTCTTACATTTGTTTTCTTATGGGTGCTG